TTCTCGAAATCAGATACTATCGATATATATATATATATATATATATATATATATATATATATATATATATTTTGACAAACGAGATTGGATAATGGCATAATGCCAAGAAACGATTTTTGTTCCCAGAAGATTAAAAAGAAGAGATTCTTACGTTACATCGCCACTGTATCATATTGAAAAAAAATCAATTTCTCCGGCGCACAAGTTGCTTTCCCATTATGAAAGATTCGCCTACGGATCTATACTTCCAATGTGCAAAAAGCATGAAAATCGCCTCACTTAGGTCGATACAAAAGGAAGAACAAGCTACAAACACCATTCATGCGATTTGCACATTGGTAACTATTAATCTGTCCGAAAACCAATAAAAATTGAAGGAATTGAGACGACCGGTACAGGTATCGGAAACACTGGTTGGGAGAACATGTATTTAGTATGAAAACGTTTTATGCTTTCGGCCCGGCAGCTTTGAAAGCATTGAATATTTTTTAGAATATGTCATAAAGATGACAACTCGTACGCTGATGATGGAGCAACCCGCAAGGTGCCACATCAACCGGAAGGAGTATTTTGTTTAGAGTCAAGATGTCTTCGAATTTATATACTACTATTTTTTTGTCTTAATTGTAGTACTAGTATATTTGTACTTTTCGGTATAATAGTCAAGATTCTTCGATAATGACTTTGTCGAGATTTGTTGTGTTTTCCAAGGCCATACATAGTAAATCGGAATAAAGTGAGAACTAGTCAAAAACAACTCTTCCTCGCCAAAAGCACGTGTAAATGCAGCTTTCCCAATGACGGGACAATTCAAACCCAGAAAAGAAGCCAACGGAAAGGAGACACATCATGCTGACAAGCCTGGGTGAAAACGGTGAGACCATACAAATAGAAATGTAGTGTTATTAACGAAGCATTTATTACATACTTTTTCAAAGGTGCCCAGTAAACACTGCGGTATCTAATCTTAACGATATCTGATACATGTGCGAGCGTACGATATATGATACATGTGCACTCTGGTTGTAGTTATAAGTGAGAAATAATGCATTTGTGTTCGTCCAATATCTTTGATTTCATTCTTCTAATAGACAACAACTTATTGATCTGGAAGATCTCTGCAAAGGAGTTACATAGGCTTATAAATGTGCTTATGGTCTCGTCGTATCGCAGAACTTTGACTTGATCAAGTAACCATGAAAAAGTAAGCATCATACCATCCGGCAACAGATCATGTGTATCTTCTGTAATCTACACCAAAGAACAAGAACAACTAAATCACACCCCTGAAACTGCTTTCGCATCAGATCAAACCAAAATCTTTTGAAAACAATATTGAAATAGCAAAGATACTAATAACTGACTTGACACTTGGCCAAATTATTTAGTCAACCTTGGCATGTTCCCCGTCTACACAAACACAGTGCCTTGAATGTACTCTTATATAGTGAGTAGTTAACATTTGTTGCTTCAGGGGGGGAACAAAGTTAACTATTCACTGGAGTTACCAGATTCTATAGTTACCAATGGGCAAACTGCTGTAGGGATGGGCATCTGTGGATTGGGTTCAATACAGAATAACGGCATTATGCAAATAAATAAGAAAAAAATCACTAGAAACTAGGGTTCGTCAGATCAACCAGAGAAAGCAGGAAAAGACATTTAGAGGGAGAGGAAGCGACTGAGGGTTTTTCTTTTAAAGAACGGATGCAAGTCTGGTATAAATTAGGGTTTTTCTTACTGACTGACTCGGGACATGACTGAACAGGCAAATTATTTGCTTGTTATTTGCAGCTTTTCAAATTATGTGTAAATTTTTCCAATTCTTGGGCGTTCTGTTAACAAGGTAAATAGTAACCAGGTAAGTATTTACAGTGTTAAGATTTACTTTCTTTGTCAATATTTATTTGTGTTTTCGAAGGCAATGAATAGTAACTAAACATTAGTAGTCAATAACGCCCATAAAGCGATAAGACAACTCTTCCTCGCCAAATGCACGCGTAAATGCAGCTTTCCCCAAGACGAGACAACTCAAAGCAGAAAAACAAGCCAACCGAAAGGAGACACATCAGATACACAAGTAATGTAATTAACGAAGCATTTACTACAAACTTTTTAAAAGTGCCAACTCCAGATTTCATCTTCCAATTTTATTTAACTTCTGGAGTAAATTTTATTTGTGTTTTCCAAGGCCATGCATAGTAAGTTAGTATATTTCCAATGGGCAAAATGCATGAAAATCGCTGCACTTATTTCAATACAATAAGATGGACAAGCTACATGCCCGGTAGCCCGGTCTCGTCCTACAGTTTTACGCATTAGACCATCTCCAATGTATTTCCCTATTTTTAGCTCTATCTCTATAATAGAGGTAAGTTTTCTCCATTTCTACTCCAATGTGTTCCTCTATTTTTTTCTCTAAAAAGTTTAACTCTATTTATAGAGGAAAAAATAGAGATTCTCTATTCTCACCTCTATATATAGAGAAAAAAATAGAGATCTCTATTTTAGAGGTGAGAATAGAGGTGGGTTGGAGCAAATTTGCCTCTAAAATAGAGTTTACATCTTAGATCTTAAATATATACTACTGTTTTAATCCATGTCAATCTGCGAGTGGTATCTTATTATTTTAAGGCTCCGTTATCTTAGATTTGTTGTATAGATTTTTAGCTGAAGTAACATATATTAGGTTGGCTACTTTAACTATAAGACTAATACATGCGGATTGAAGGCTTTGTGGTGCAGATGCGAGATGATATCAAATGTACTTGTTCATTGTATATGATCAGTGGGATCCCGTGTAGCCACATTGTCTCTTGTCTAAGATCAAGACCCTAAGAAGTTGATATCTTCATGGTTCACTACAGAAAAGTTGAAGACATGCTATGATGATGGTCTTTGTGGTGTGAATGGAATGAATTTATGTGAGGTGACTACAAATGTTAGAGTCAAACCGCCTTTTTAGACCAAAATGTCTAAAAGAGGAACCAAAAGAATATAATACTATTTCTAACTTTCATATTCGTTGATGGTTGTGTCTCTGATATTGTTGTTACCTTTTTATGCAGCCTTGTGGCATATGTGGACAGGAAGGGCACAACAAGCTGAAATGCAAGAATGCACCAATACAAGACCAACACACATCGAAGACCAACATGTAAACATAACTCACACAAACATCAAAAATACAAATCATATTACAGACAACACACATTGAACATCTTTTCAAAGACAATGAAAATTAAAATATCTTCATCCGCATACTACTAAAGAGAAAGAGTCTTCTAAACAAAGTGTAATAATCTACATAAACAAGTAGATTATTATTTCTATCAAAACAAAAACCGCAACAAACACATTCTTCAATTCCAAAGATAAGCCGTCGCTTTTCTTTGCAATCATCGCCCTAAGCCTAGCAAACTCCATCTTATTTTCATCGTGGAGATCATAAATGTGAAGAATCTTGCCGCTAGCCTGTCTAGTAATTTGTTGAGTTATTAAATATATGCAATGTGATGGTAGTTATTAGCCAGGGTAGATAGTAGGTTGGTGATGCTGATGCTGTTTTAGTGCTTGGCGTTGTTCTTGGTTCACTGCAATCATCTTGATGTTGGTTGTGTGTCTCCTTCAATCGTTATTTTCTATCTCTCTGGTGCTGGAAGTGATCTCTGTCCTCTTACTCCACATTAAATACTGAAACACCAAAAAAATCCTAGCTTTTCTCCCTTTTTTGGGCAGAGAAGAAGATTATGATCGATAATGAGCAATGTAACGGATCGATTATGCAAAACATTGGCAGCAATGGGGCCAAGAAAGTAGAATGTTTGGTCCATGAAGATGGAGAAACGCATAGATGCAATGAGAAACTGTGCAGTGAAGTTAAGAAAGAAGAAGAAATTGATGAAAGATTGAAATAGAGAAAGCTTGCAATAAAGGAGATGGAATTGAAGCTCGAGGCACGTATTATTGAGATGGAGAAGACTTTGGCCATGATTAGAAAACGAAAAACCAGAGGAAATATGACTGAGAATGGAGTTTTTTCGGTTTAGGTTCATCTCATGGAAACAAAACAACAATGTCACACATATCAATCTTGGTGTGACTCTCTTTTGGTATTTTATCACACAAATATTTATGGTGTTAGTACTTAGAAAGTTATTTGCCATTGATTCGATTAAGTTCCGGTTATAAGTCTTGATTTGATTTGAGATTATATAGACCGGTCGGTTTACAAAAAACTTATCACTTTCTGTTTGGTCAATTATTTTCATTTTGGCAAATGCTTATCATGCTATAGAAAGAAAACAAAAAAAAATTCTCGGAATGACCTTAAGTTTTTGCATCTTCTGATTTTTTTTTGGTCAATCATTATCTACTAGTGCCTTTTTTTGCACATCTATATTTAATATTTTATGAAAATAATGTATTTTTAATATTGTATGAATTGCAATAATTATTAAGTTTTATGAAATATAAAAATTTAAAACATTTTTATCCATAAGAACCCTAGCGAAACTACCATTGGAATATGAAAAATTAAAAACAAAACACACAAGTCTCATCTAACAATTTCAAAAACTTTATATTAAAAACAACTGGTGAGAGCCCATGGGGGACTCTCACCAAAAAGATATCCCAGACCGCACATAAAGCTTTGCGATACACTCTGGAAAAGGATATTCCAGACGAAAATAACAAAGAAAAACAAAAATCAATTTGATTTCCCTTTCGGCCTCCACGTCATCTCTGCATATAGACTCCATCAAACTCTCTAGTTTCCCTTTCGCAAAGAGCAGGCTTTGCGGTAAACATTTTCAAGAAATCTCATTAGTTATCATGCGATTTTGTCCGTAAGTTTCCGTCGGAGTTGATAACTCTAGCTTCTACAAAACGATCTACAAGGTTTGTGTCTACCAGGTTTGGATCTCGAATCTCTCCAATCGTACTGTTTGCGATACTTCGTTTGATACGTATAAAGAAGCAATCTATAATTCACTATGGAGTTTCCTCTAGTGATGTTTTCCGAGGAAAATATGCCAGATCCACAGACTAAAATAAACTACATCTCAAATTTCAATGTCCTACCGATTGTGGAAACCGCAGTAGACCCGGACGCTTGGTTTCGTGTTCTCGATTCTCCACTTGGAGTTGTTGTAAGATTTAAACAGTTGAATTTCCAGTGGAGTGCTAAACTCGTGCATCATCATCTGCTTAGCAACCAACTGGTATGCGAAAACGAGCATGAGTTGTGGTTTTTAATCAGAGGACAGCCAGGGCGGTTTTCGCTTTTCGAGTTTGAGGATATCACAGCTCTGAACTGCTACGAACCTCCGCCGGGGATTAATTTTGAACAATCTGAGGAGCATATTCACTTCCATAGTCTTTTGAAGCTTCCTGTAAAATGCCTGAGCCCAAGCATTGAGGACATAAAAAAGTTGTGTCAGAATTCTGCTGCAGAGATAAGTAAGTGGTCTGTGGACGATAGGGTTAGGCTATGTTATTTAGCCATTCTGTCTAACGGTCTCTTGGGTATTGATCGGCGTACGGGTATCCTAATTGATCACTACAGATTGGTAATGAATTTGGATAGTTTCGAAAGGTATCCCTGAGGAAGGAATGCATGCAAAGATCTTATATCGAAAGTAAAGCAAGCAACTAATTTCAAGATCTACCAAGGCTCCTATGCTATCAATGGGTTTGTGCAAGTTTTGCAGATATGGGCTTATGTTTACATTCCCTCAGTGGGAAGATCTCTAGGTTATCCTCTGCCGAATGCCACAGATCGACCAAAGCTGCTAAGATTCCAGGGTAAAGTTCGCCGGCTACCGACCGCGAACGTCTTCCAGAGTGAATCGGTATGCGATCATTATCTTTGACAGAGTTCAATTCGTTTCCCGCATTATCTGGCTGATTATAATATATCGCTGCGTGGAGATTATTATATTTTCGCCATATATTTTGACACTGCCAAAAGGTTTTGTCCTTTGGCAGACTTTATTCGGAATTTGCTGTATAACTACGTGACCAACAAACTTTGGAGAAGACTTTGGAGACTTTGGAGAACTATACCGAACTAAACGGATGACCAACAAACAAATGGCAGTGACGACGCCTAAAAGTTCAGATAATACTAAACTGGTCGAAATGATGCTAGGAATCTCTACTAAACAGAACGAAATGTGTGAGTCGATGTTTAGACGAATGGATGAAGCCGCCGAGAGGCAGCGAGAAGCCATGAACCGGCAGCAGGAGACCTTCATGAGACAGCAAGAATCAATCATGATGCAGCAAAAACAAAACTTAGACCAGCAACAGCAAATGAGTAAAGTCTTGAACGAGTTTTCAAATCTCTGCACCGCATTAGCAGGTGGGTCTATTCCTGCACTGTACTAAGTATTCATTAGTTTTTTTTACTCAAGAGTATTTTTTCCATTTGTTTATCATGGTTTACATGCAAAGCTTCGAATCCTCTTGGAAAGCTCAACAACCTCCTTCCTTAAAATTGTAACCTCTTCTTTGATACCGTTATCCTCTTGGAATGGCTATTCTACACACCGATGCCGTGAATCTAAAATCACCTTAACATATTGTATTTAAAGTATCTCTTTTTCCACATGGACATCTTGTAGTAATGCCATAGTGACCATCGTCCGCTAGAGCATCTTACCGGTCCTTTAGCGGTCCTTTAGCATCTTGGCCCTTTTCCTCAAGGGCGCCGTTTTTTATCCGCATGTGCGCCGCCAGTTTACACATAGTTATACACAAGAGAGTAGTTATACCCAAGTTCCACATAGTTCTATTTTTGCTGTATTCCAGTAAGATTAGTATTACGTATTCCTACAATTTATATTTCTAGTTGTACGATTGATTAAAGTCGCTAACAATGTAATTCAGAATGTTTTACGCATTCATATGTTTTAAACGTAGATTGTTGTAACATTTTCGTCTTAATTTGGTTAATACTAACAACGTGAGCTTTTAAGTATATGAATGTATTGTGTAGATTCGCATTTTACTGTGTTTGCATGAGGATGAACTTTCACCATTTGTTATTTTACAAATCTAGCCATTGCAATGTTTACAAACCTAATGTATTGTTGTTATTAAACTTAATAAGAAAGAACATTATTAAACCTAGCTATTTGTATTGTTTTGAAACCTATTGTATTGTTATGGCGGAGATGGACGCATAAAACACTTCAGAATTAAACTAGCCACTTAATTCAATTTTACAACTAGGAAGTTAAGTAATCACTAGAGTTCATTTGTATGTTTAGATATTATTTCTAGTATGAAACGCTGAAATTTTGTGTCGGCAGAACATCTGCGCATATGACATTACATATCGCTCTCCAAAAAGCCGAGATACAGCAAAGGTATAAATCAAATATATTGAACTCTGCTACCTCTGTCCGCGATCAAATTGCTTTAGCCTTGACATTACTCTGCTACTTTTTATTTCATGTATTTCTATAATAGTCTATAGTTATTAGCTTATTTTTAAAGGTGGCTCTGTTAATCCAACACATTTAACGAGCACAGAAATCACACATCAAAAAAACTGATTCAGGGCACTAAGTGTTACAAGTGTTTAGCAATGCTGCCGATCACACGGTCTTGAGATCTTTTCTCTATCTAATCCCAACCGTAGTAACGACTAGATAATAAAGTATATGACCATTCTCTTATGTGCAAATCATGTGCACCATCTTCTTGTAGTGAAATGGCTTCAACATGTACAGCTTCCGACTTGAAGTTGCGGATGCTCAGATTTTTTACGCCGAGAATATCCTTGAGAGAACCGAAGTTTGGCTCATGTAGGATCGCTTGAAGATCTCCATACGGTCTGAACTGTCTCAAGTGTCTCACCTTTCTTTCTGCCACGTTGTAGAAAAGAAGACTCGAGTCATGGCAAATTAACACCAGCTCACCATTCTCCATCAAACATATGGGCTTGAAACAGGTAGGGGCATCGCGAAATAGCTTGATAAAAAATAGTCGTTTCCACGACCCGTGCTCACCCCATTTAGGGATCACCCAAATCTCTAATTCCCTAGACTCAACTACCCGAGAGGCATAGATACACCCCCTCAACACTCCAACATCAACATTTTTGTTCAAATGAAAACATGAAGGTAGCTGGAATGAGCCAAAAGTTTTGTGTTCAACGTCAAACTTTAGTATATATCTCGTTTTGTTCGACCTCCTACAGAGCCAATAAATTACACCATTCAAAAACATCGGACATCCATCACATATTTCCATTTTGGGAACAAATCCGATTGTTTTCCAAGATGTATCACCCATCCTATATATTTCAGCAAAAAGAGGCGCTTCTATTGAAAGTTCCAATACAATCCTCAAAAGTTTTACCGCTTACTCTCGAGACTGCAACAAAAACCAGACACAATTGGGAATCCACTTACGGCCACCTCCTCCAAAGGATTTGGTTTTGGAATCAATATGACCTCGCGAGTAACCGGATTGCATATAGCATACTGACTTGATATTACGGACGAGCTGCAGAGATATTGGCTTGATATTTTCTTAGTTTCAGGTTTGTGCAAGCAAATAAACCCATAACACGAATTGACAATAGCATAACCATCTGAAAAAATTTCATCACTATCTTCAATTGACTGAGGAAGAGAAGCAATAGCATAACCATCTAAAATTTTTTCATCACTATCTTCAATTGACTGAGGAAGATAAGCAGTATACTGTGTAGCTCTTGCTCTAGAACCCCAACTAGAAATTGCATCCAAATCAAGCTTGTGAAGAATCTGATAACCAACCTCATTTTCATTAATATAAGCAAGCCTATATCCCTTAATATAAGCTCGAAGGAAAACTTGAGAATCAGCTTTGCATAATTGTAGATTGAAATCAGTAGAGTTGGTCACAGAGGAGAAGTCCTTGCACACTGGTCTGAGGACACAAGCATCCTTGAAGGAGCGGAATCTTGAGAGAATAGTTGCTAGGATATCTGTTGGAAGGTATAGGATAAGATTTGATGTGCTGTCGGTTTCTGTTCTCATTTTTCTCTTCTTAGCTTTAGGAACTCCTTCCAAACCAGGTTCTCTGAAAGAATCAATCTGCCAGATACAAAGATTAAACTTACATTAGATGTGCAAGATCCAAGTACATTCCTATCTTCACTATTGGATTCAGTGGCGAATCTTCTACCCTTCTAAATTCACTCACTGATAGTTCATTTTTTACAGTCCGAACGTAAGTATAAATGTTGATGACATACCGTCTTTGATCCATCACCCAATGCATCAACTAATTTTGGTAATCCAATTGACGCATACGGATAATTCCTATCACCCATCTGAAACAATAAAAGCAATTCTCATCATAATTACATATAAAAGAAATTCTCATTCAAGCAATTCTATCTTCACTATTGGATTCAGTGGCAAATCTTCTAGCCTTTTTGAGTACGGAGAATATGTAAGGGTATCGATATAGCTCCGATACCATGTAAGAAAATATGTTGCTATATATTCAAAGAGAGAGTACAGACTCATATATATATATATATATACATTGAGAAGAGGGAGACTCTAGGTTAAGACATATAAGAAATGTACTATAATCAACGAGAGACATGATACGATTGTATCCTTAACAGAATATACCAGGAGTAACGGCGATGCTGAAGTTTTGTTTCCTCGGAATAGCGAATCGTCGTCTGGTTAATCCGCCGATAGAGAGAGAAAAGAGAGAGTGAGTGAGTAAAGGTAAAGTAGAAATCGAATCGTTGTGACTGGTTACGGGTAGGGATGTAAATCGTTGATCTCTATGCAATAACCGTTGCATATACTCAAAAGCAGGGCCGGCCCAAACTCGGCCCTGCTTTTACAATGACATTCGATAATGGCATTCGGATATTATGACTTGTGGATTTTTATCTGTAGTTGCCTTTTTAAATGACTATTTTTAATGATACTCTGTTTTGCAATCCAATGAGTACTGACCACACGGCTTACATATTCCGATTCTCTTATCAGCTTTGTGTATTCAAAAAAATGTTACTCCGTATGATATTATGTCCGTCACTTGTGCATTACTAGTATTCATGGACTCTTACAATGACATTGGATAATGGTACAAAATGATTTATGTTTAGCCTATTTATTTACTTTTTTTTAAACAATAATTACTCATTTTTCACTTATACCAAAACGACGTCTGTGGGTTTATTCATGCACCGCACTAAGTTATTCATTAGTTTTTTTACTCGATTATATGGGAAACCCAAAAAAGATTCGGGTGAATTTCGAATTTTCTGCTCAATTTTGTTCCTCGCGTGCGCCGTTTTTTCCCTCTTGTACGCCGTTTTTTCTCCGCAGGTGCACCGCCAGTTTACACATAGTTATACACAAGAGAGTAGTTATACCCAAGTTCCACATAGTTCTACTTTTGCTGTATTCCAGTAAGATTAGTATTACGTACCCCGAAAATTTATATTTCTAGTTGTACGATTGATTGAAGTCGCTAACAATGTAATTCAGAATGTTTTACGTATTCATATGTTTTAAACGTAGATTGTTGTAACTTTTTCGTCTTAATTTGGTTAATATTAACAACGTGAGTTTTAAAGTATATGAATGTATTGTGTAGTTCGCATGAGGATGAACTTTCACCATTTGTAATTTTACAAATCTAGCTATTGCAATGTTTACAAACCTAATGTATTGTTGTTATTAAACTTAATAAGAAAGAACATTATTAAACCTAGCTATTTGTATTGTTTAGAAACCTATTGTACTGTTATGGCGGAGATGGACGCATAAAAAACTCAGAATTAAACGTTTAGCCACTTAATTCAATTTTACAACTAGGAAAGTAAGTAATCACTAGAGTTCATTTGTATGTTTAGATCTTATTTCTAGTATGAAACGCTGCCTTTCTTTGTTTGGTAGAAATTTTGTGTCGCCAGAACATCTGCGCATATGACATTACATATCGCTCTCCAAAAAGCCGAGATACAGCAAAGGTATAAATCAAATATATTGAACTCTGCTACCAGTGTCCGCGATCAAATTGCTTTAGCCTTGGCATTTCTCTGCTACTTTTTTATTTCCTGTATTTCTATAATACTCTATAGTTATTAACTTATTATGCGACAAGTCGCCTGAGGCAACGACGGTCCTACCTATTTTTTTTTGTTACGTTGACTTCTTCTCTATGCAATAACCGTTGCATTTACTCAAAAGAAATGACTTCATTATATCACTCGCAGAGCTTATTTGTCCACATCCAGACCATTCGCCGAGTCAAGTAGGACTAACTGGGGCTGGGGACAGCAGGAAAGAGGATCTATGCATCGGTTCAATGCAGCAGAATCCAAACGGTTAATAAGACATTTACTAGAACAAGTAAACAACTATACATTTATTGTTCGTCAACTTATAACAATAGAAGGATAGAAAAGTGATGAGGAGCGGAAGCGCAGAGTGTGCATTTATAGACCGTAAGGGATCCCTAGCGCCAAGATAAAAGAATTTAATCTGCTATGCGCACAATGTGCATATTTAGGGCTTTTATACTTCAACTTATCTAAGTTAAAGTTGTGTAAACTCTATCTGAGCTTTTTTAATCCTCTACCACCTTGTGGCTGCAAAAACCTCCTCAATAATGATCTACATTCCAGTACCACTTATGACAGACATAGTCCGTCGTATTGGGAGTGAGGGATTCCGCAACCTAGGTCCTTTCATTGCAGCTGGGCCTTTCTTTAAACAAATTGTCTTTTCCTGTGAAGTCCTAATCGACGTGGATCTTGATGAGTTCATGTTCAACACTAGACTCGGTAGAGAAGAATCTATCTATCGATCCTTCCTTTTAAGATGCGTAGCTGAAGGTCATGAGATAGCAAGATATATCGAATCTCTACGCCGTTTGACTCAAGATGGACCGTCCGTGGAAGCACTAGAGATGCTTGGAGAAGTTGCTTATTCTTCCATCTACGCTATATTTGCATTTGCGGTCATGCTCCTTTGTTGTGGTTCCTATGACCAAGGTATGGTCGTAAGCCGAACTTTATTTAGTAAGGTTGAAACTTTGGAAGAAGCGTTAAACATTGCCGGTGTAGTAGAAAGCCAGGTTCGTAATATCGGTCCTGGCGGTCGCAATGTGTTTTCCGGATTTATCCATTTCAAAGAGTATCCAATATGCTACTTTGCACACAACAACTCGAGTACATGCATTTGTCAGCATTGTTTTCCGTTTAATTACACTACCACTTTCCATGAAATGTGTTAAGAAGACTTATCTATCTTCCATTGTGGTCGTTGTTCTCTGTTTCTGTCTACAAACTCTATCAGGTCTTGTAACACAACTATTACTTGTTTGTTCCTCTGTTGGTATGGTTGCTATCTATATCTAAGATTTTCCCAGAACTAGCTAGATACCAGTCTTGGGCAAACAGTAGGAATGGGCATCTATGCATCGGTTCAAGGCAGCAGAATCCAAACGGTTAATACGACATTAACTAAAACAAGTAAACAACTATACATTTATTGTTCGTCAAATCAATGAAAGAAGGATAGAAAAGTTATGAGGAGCGGAAGGGCACAGTGTGCCTTTTAGAGACCTTAAATATCTGCTATTGGGATCCCTAGCGCCAAGCTAAAAGAATTTAATCTGCTATTGGAAAGTAAATATAGAGAAAGGATCACGCGACGCCGCCTGACGAGCCATCTAGATTGCGCCACGTCCTCATTTCGGAAATGTAAAGTACCTGCCAAAGCAACCATCCCACACCCACAAAGGCGTTATCTCCGTATATTGATGTGGCGTCTTTTGGTTGGCCCCTCTTTTCGGTAATGAATTATAGTACAAGCTTTGGTAAAAGCTGCATTTTCCATTTATTAATGCGTTATATCCCATTTATTAGAAATTATCGCGAAGATAATGTATCCTGAACTATAATGGTGGTCTAAATTTCTAGTTTCGCGTTTGTTTGAGAAACAAAGTAAAACTTATTCTAATGTACAGTGTTGAACAATAACTTATATTTACAAGACTGCATTTGCTTTTGGCCATTATTTATACTGTGTGCAGCGGAAGAGCATAGGCCATATAAGGAAAAGCCCAGCTTGTGGATGTAGGATTCACACTCAATTGTCTTTAAGTATTTCAGTGGAGAAAAACTCTGGTAAAATCAACAAATGAAAATGAGAATTTGAAAGGGAAGTATAACCAAGAAAAGAAAGTAAAGAAATCTGATAAGAACGAAGTACAAAAAGCCTAGCGAGAATAATAAAGAGAAAAAGTATATTGTATTGCTTGGAAGTAGTGTGTAAATAGATTCGCCCCTCAAACACATGCGTTTGAGGTTGTTTTTATAGAGAAAACATGATTAATGCGGTCATTCACTGTACATAATTATATTGACCCGCATTAATCATGTAAGTTACAATTTTGACTGAAACGGCTCGAATTTGAACTATCTTGGGCTTCACATGGGCTCTCCAAACCCTTTCTTGTTGACTCCGAACTCCCGCGCTTTGATGCTACTGCGAGCCTCGAACAATATTCTCCTCGCTTCGGCCTTTCTCTATGCGAACTGTATGTTGAATAAGAGCGAACTCCATGCTGGTAAGGATCGAACTCTTTTAGTGAACTGAATCGAACTCCCAACTGGTCAAGTTCAATAAAATATCTTGAATTCTGAGAGGATTATTATGCAATAATGACGTGGACAGATCCAAGTGGATCCTACCGAGAATGTGTGGGATCTGACCCCAACATTTAGCCCCCAAAGTCTTGCGAGCTGAGTGCTCGGCTTGGAAGACTTAAGTAAATAGTAATTAATGAATCGAGATCTTTAACATTCTGGAATTTCTCCATGTTTTACGCTGTTACGCCGATCTCGGATAATCAAATGATTTGATTTCCCTGACAACCGTCATCATTAATTTCTTAATTTTATATTAATACTGCGGGGAAAACTGTTCCGCTTCCCAATATTTTCGAGGCGGTCTTCCATCTTACTTTTGGGTTCTAAGAGGTAACATTACTTTCCCATCTTATCTTCTTTACCTAGAAAACTTTCACTCTTATTACAGAGATTATTGTTCCCTTCGGTAAAACCATTTTCGTAAAATGTCGAACCTCCCTTCTGAAATTCGCGAGTATGAGGTTGAAGATCTCGAAGCTTTCATGAGTGAAAGAACCGAACCTCATATCCAAACCGGAGACGGGTTTGATCTTCATCTTCAGAGTCAATCGACTGTTGACTCTCTTAACGATCTTCGTCGCTTTTGCCACATTCCCCCCGAAGTGGAGATGGTGGTCCCGGAGCCCTATGAGTCTCCGGAATCGAGGCGAGAGGGTTACTGCTGCGCCTATGAAATTTATTTCAAATTTATTTCAACCATCTGGGAATCGCCTTCTCTCAGATGTTGCCCAACATGCTTCAGTATCTTATGTGTACCTTCACTGTTGCGGCAGAGGCGGGCTACTCGTTGGGACTTAACGAGTTCTTGGAATTCTTCCAGGCTCGTGAATCCCGAACTTCTGGGTATTATGCCCTTTATCCAATCGCAGACCGGAATCTTATTGATGGCCTGCCTTTAAAAGATAACGCCTGGAGGAAGTTTTGGTTCTTCTTCCGTATAGATAGTTTTTCTGTTTAGAGTTCTTCCGAACTCCTCCGATTTTGCTGGTCATCGAATTTGGGTAGAAACTAGGACTTAACTGAATAAGTTTCCCATGTTATTTCGAACTGCGCTAACATTTTCTCGTTTTTTCCGCAGGTCCCCAAATTCGGCCAGTTCCTTCTGTTGATTTTTTAAACTTTTACAAGGCCGTCCGGGAGAGGCCAGTTAATTGGAATTCTTTTACTTTAGAGAGAATTCACAGTGCCGGACATTCTGTTAGAATGGGCCTTACTCATCTCGTCGACCCTCCTCCTGCTGAGATTGATCTCTCGAGTTTGAATGCCCGAGACATGACAAGGATCAGAGAAGCAGACAAGAAGGTCAAAAGATCAGATCTCCCAGATTGGAAGAAACAAGAAAAATGCATCCTCCGCCGGGGACGACAAAATCTACCGAAAAACCCTTTTAGTTGACGACGGGTCCCTTGAAGGTTCAAAGTCAATGGCGGTTACCATAAACAATGCTCCTCCCTCCACTCTAGCAGCGGACAATATGATCGCTACTACTGCTGAAAAGGAAGGTCTTACAGGCGATTCTTCTTTCATGAACAAGAGGAAGGCTGAGGAACTCGAACCCCCGCTCCAGGGACGACCCAAGAGCACAAGGAAGGACAGAGCCGCTCCTTCGAGCCTGGTAATTCCTGAATCTGTTGAAGCTCAGGATGAGAACCCTGATTCAGGAATTTTTTTAAAGGAACCGCTGAGTTCAGGGATGCTACCCCCTAGACGTCCCCGAGGTAATACCTTTACAGCTCGATCGTCTCCGAGCTCAGGACTTGTCGCCAGAGCTTCATCCCAATCAGGTAACCTTCAATTAACATTTTGTTACTTGAGATTAACCGACCTTTTAGGAGGCTCAATCCTCACATAAATATCTTTATTTTAGATAAAGAGAAGATTGGAAATATCTTCAGATGTTTCCACACTCGCTTTGGGAAGAAACTTCCGTCCTTTGAGCGTTGAAGGCCTGACATCAACAAGATGTATATCAGTCATTCATTCCACTTCTCCCAGGTTTGACTATTCGAATCCTTAAACAACCGATTTTGAGTCCCCTTTTTTTTAAATGCATCTTCTTTTATCAGGCAACTCTGGATGTGAACAGCATCATCAACCACTACGAAGAGGAGCTTGCCAAAGTTTCCAAGAAAGCTGCTGTTGCTGAAGGAGAGATTGAGAAGCTGCAATCTTCCAATCGGCTTGTGCAGGAGATTGCTGGTCTCTGATAATAGGATTTTTACTCTAGTTCTCAATTCCTATAATACTATCATGTCATTGTAGTATTTAAGGTTATCAATCCAATCAGGTGTGATGCAAACAAATGAGATATTATCAGAAAGCACTAAGTCAAGCCAAGCAGAATTCGGTTGTTTTTCTAACAGTCCTAGTGATTGGTGCAGAAAATAGTAAATTTGCAGAAATGGACTACTATACTCGATCACAAGGCTCATTGCCAGAAGGGAGGGTGTGATCGAGTAAACCAGTGGTCACAGAGTAAAATTGTTAAAAACTTAAACAGCAGGTAACAAAACAGAAGCAAATAACAGAGAAGGTGAATGAAGCAGGTAAGTAAACAGATAAATCAATTGGATAAGAAACTCCTAAGGATGGGGTAATCGAATAGTGTGGACTCCATAATCAATTCCGATGGTTAACAATTCTCAATGAAGCTATCCCTAGACAACAGGTTCAACGACAGATCAATTCAGTCCCGTGATAGAAACCCTCAAGCAAAGCTAGCCCAGACTAATTCCCATTAACGGAATCTAACT